CGAATATCATTTTTTTTATTTAATATATGTTATTAATACTAATATTTTAGTATTTAAAATTTATATGAAATTTTAATTAATTTAAAATTGAATTAGATCTAACTCTAAATAAAAAAAATTTTAACATTTATATTTTTATTTATAAAATTTAAATTTAAAATTTTCTTAAAAGAATTGAATTTTTTTAACTCAAATTAATATTTTTTTTTTGAAATATTTTGACACAAGATAAATTTCGAGAAAGGAAAATATACCTAACAAGCTGGCTAATGCCAGTGTGCCGCTAGTCAAGGTGAACTCAAATTAATACGTTAGTTTAATATATGTTATTAATTTTAATTTTAAAAAAAATTGAAATGGAAAGTTAAGTCCCTTCTTTTCATGGTAGTTTTTCAAACCCGTGGATTTTGCGATCCAAAGGCGGTTCAGCAAAACCATGGGCAGTTTTCTGTCAGCCCACTCAGTATCAAGGAAACCTTCGGAGAACCAATACCGGCTGCTGCGCTCCCTGTATATATCCGTCTCCATCCACGTTCCCAATACCGCTCAATATATTAAACCCCAACATTTCTTGTTTCTCCCTCTCTTTCTGTGCATTTCCTGTTTCGCAATCTCAACCACACCTCTGTTCTTTTCTCTTTTCTGGGTGGAGACTGAAGAAGAAAGATGATGATACAGCTTGGATTCAGTCTTTGAGTTTCTGGGTTCCTTTTTTACAGGAACAGTCGGTTCGCTACTGGTATGTTTTCAATTCCTGTTAGGTGTATAGATTGCTTTTTGGGTTTCTAAGCTGCCACTGGTGGATTATCGGGATTTGTTTTCTGTTAATTTTTGCCATATATAGAAAGTGAGAAGTATCTGATAACAATTGTCCATTTGGGTATCTGAGATCTGGGGTTCTTTCATAGGGACTATTTGTTTTGGTAGTGTGATGTTTGCTGGGATTGGTTCAGGGATGTTGGGGTTAGAGATGCCCCTGCACCCGCAGCAGCAGCAACAGAATAACCAAAACCCTCAAAACCCTAACCATTTGCACACTCATCCTCAAATAGTGGCTTTTGCCCGCCATGATGCTGAGCATCACCAGCAACCCCAGCCATCCGTGAAACAAGGGTATCAGTTTGCTGTTAAGTCCAAACAGCCATCCTCGTTTAGTGATGAAGATGAGCCTGGGTCTAATGCTGATGATGGTACAGGGGATGCCAAGCGGAAAATGTCCCCATGGCAGAGAATGAAATGGACTGATAATATGGTTAAGCTCTTAATTATGGCTGTTTATTACATTGGTGATGAGGCTGGATCTGAAGGAAATGATCCGTCTAGCAAGAAGAAGGCTGGTGGGGTATTACAGAAGAAAGGAAAGTGGAAATCGGTGTCGAGGGCTATGATGGAGAAAGGGTCTTATGTTTCGCCACAGCAGTGCGAGGACAAGTTTAATGATTTGAACAAGAGATATAAGAGGGTTAATGATATACTTGGTAAAGGAACTGCTTGTCGAGTTGTGGAGAATCAAGCCTTGCTTGATACAATGGATTTGTCACCAAAAATGAAGGATGAAGTGAAAAAATTATTGAATTCAAAGCACTTATTTTTCAGGGAAATGTGTGCTTATCATAATAGTTGCGGGCATGGCGGTGGTGCTGGCACTGGCGGTACTAATCACTCACCAGAGGTGGCGGCAGAACCATCCCAAATTCAGCACCAGCAAGCTCAACAACGTCGATGCTTGCATTCATCAGATAATGCTCAGGTTACAGCCAATTTGAGTAGAATTGAAACAGATGGATCAAAATTAACCAAGGTGCATAGTGAAGATGAGGATGATGAGGATGATGAATCTGATGAAGATGAGGATGATGAAGAAGAGACCACAGATGGTCACTCAAGAGGCCATTGTTTGCATGGGCAAGATGATGATGATGAGAATGAAGAAAAGTCCTCGCATAAAAGGCCAAGAAAGGGACCGTACCCTTCAGTGCCACCATTGATGCAACAATTCAGCAGGGAACTAATGGCACTGATGCAAGATGAGTCAAAGAGTGCTTGGGAGAAGAAGCAATGGATGAAAGTGAGACTGATGCAATTGGAGGAGCAACAAGTAAGCTACCAATACCAAGCATATGAGCTTGAGAAGCAGAGGCTAAAGTGGATCAAGTTTAGCTCCAAAAAGGAGAGGGAAATGGAGAGAGCAAAGCTTGAGAATGAAAGGAGGCGGCTTGAGAATGATAGATTGGTACTGCTTGTACGGCAGAAGGAGCTTGAGTTGCTTGAACTCCAGCACCACAATCAACCGCAACAGCTTTCTTCTAGCAAGCGGGGTGACCCATCTTCCATTACTGGATGAATTGGGTAACAAATTAGATGGTTAGGCTTTTATAGATAGACGGATCTTACATGGTGTTTATGTTTATCTTGTTTGAAAATTTGCTTATGAAATTAAGTGGCATTAATTTAGATTGAGTTCTAACCTCCCAACGTGTCCTTCATCGCTAATTTACAGATTTATGGTGATTTACTTTTTGCCTTTGTGCAAGCAAATTGTTCAGCCCAAAAATGTGATAGAAACTTAGAAAGTATAGTCTTTTAAAGTGCGCTTGAAGAAAAAGGGAAATAAAAAAAAAAAAAATTTAAAAGTTAAAAATTGCAACATGGAGAAAAAAAATTCAAATTTCCAAAATAGGAATCACGCCTGGTGGGACTCGAACCCACAATCGTCTGATTAGAAGTCAGACGCCTTATCCATTAGGCCACAGGCGCTTCGTTAATAATATTATTGATATTTTTTTTAATTCCGAAAAATTGAAAAAAAAAAAAAATTTCTCCTTCTACGATATAAGAACTTATTTAGTTATTTGGTAAAACACATGATGTGAACTTCATTGCAACTCGGCCAAGAAGATCAGTTACAAAGAGTTTTCATGTTCTCCCCATGAAAAAATAAGAAGGAACTTTCAATTTATCCTTTCTGTGAGAAGAAAGACTGGCGTAAATATGTCAGTGAGTATATGTCCAATTCAGTCTAGTTTAACCAATTTAATTGGTTCAGAATCAGGTTAAAAAACCATAATTCACACAATCATATAATAAGATGTAACGTGACTCACTGAAATGGGGCTCACGGCCATCCTTGCCATCACTTCATTCTGAGCAAACCAGAAAAAAGTTGGAAGTTTATATATTCTTGGTAGATTTCTAGTCACCGTGTATCCAAAACCTGGAGATACACCTCACAGGTGCCACCAGCAGTGCACACCACTGCTTTCAAAAATTAGGAACATAAAACTCCCATACCAGGGTAATACAAAAACAATAGGATTCTAATCTTCGAGTTCAATAATCTTGACGACGGATGTATCCCCAACCTTCTGGCAAACAACTACTCGATCATGTGACTTTATAACTCCAGTAGCTTTCCCATGATCAAGAGCAACCTTCAAAACTGACTCATTTGTGGCACTAGTTGACTCCGCCTGCAAATTCATGTAGAATCACATCATATCTCTGAAATCTAAACTATGTCAAAAGTACAATATCTGTGGATGAAACAATAACACCCAAAGAATCCAGTTAGCAGACACCAAGTAAACCAAAAGGGAACTTACAGGATGGCGTGGATCAGCAAGCATTGGGAAAAGACCTCTAACAATTAGTGATTGCCTTGCCTGAAAGTTTTTACCGAGATGTTAAAGAGTTCTATTAACAAAAAATTAAATCGCAAGGAAGAATGGAAGATGAGATGAATATATCTCCCAACCACATGTAAACTTCTGAAGATTTATTAGGGAGTAAATTAACTCATAAAAGAGAGATGTTCTAAATTCTCAAGACTTGTGCAATAGAATTATACCACGCATGCTTCTTTTAGATAATTACTGCATGGCATTATTGACTGCATCAAATTTTGAAAAATTGGCAGCAGTTACAATTTTTTTCAACGTCAAAAAATCATAAATGTTCAGGCGGAAACCTACATTAAATTGCATCAACAGAAAATACAGGTTTTCCACATTAGTTTGCTTAGATCCAAGCAATAAATCAAGAATAACAGGAGAAGTCACATATATTACAGATTAGATTACTCTGAGATAGTATTTCCAGGTCATTATACTAGCTATTTCGAAAGTTATACTAGTTATTTTGGAACACTCTAGTACAATTAGAATGTTAAAAAAGGTCGATTATTAGTCACAATTCAGTTGAAAGTAACAAGATGAATAAGAACAATAGGGATTATGCAAGATTTGTTTATGAATTGATCACCCAGGAATGAGCAGAATTGCAAAAAAGGTTCACCTCAAAGGCTCCACTGAAGCTCCATCTGAGTTGATTTGTCTTGAGTCGAGGGATGACAACTGAGAGAACAGGCATTGTTGGCCTGTATTTTGAAATCAATCTGGGGATACAAATGGAAAAAAAAATCAGGAGGGCATATAAATGCATTAATGAACATCAAAAAGGCTTTAATTATATCTGCCCCCCCATGACTTCAGCCCCCAGCCCTTATCCTACAGAAGAAAAACAACAATAGCACAGCTTGTATTATAAAATTAGTGCATATATGACTGCATACCTCGCAGCTCTCCCCGATGATGTGAAGCATATAATAACAGATGCCTTTACCTTAATGGCTGCTCGAACCTGGACAAGAAAATGAAGCCTTTTAAGTAATCTACGTTAAAAATTTTGCACTTCTTCTAACGGGATCTACAATCAGGAGAAACCACTCTGACATGATCAGGAACAGATGATTAGAAGAGGAAACTAGTGCATACCGCAGAGGAAGCAATGGATTCCAAGTGGGTCATTGGCTCCCCAGCATATTTGACTGTCTTCTTGAAATACAAATCCTGGTTGAATACCTTCTCAGCCTATATGATTTGCTAGAAAAGATTAAAAGTCTGAACTGGAAGATAAAGAAAGTAACTGAAATTCAAATATTAATGGAATTTAAAAAAAAAAAATATTGCCGTCGAATTTGTAAAATTTTGCTTATAAAGAATACTAATTTAACAAGATAAGGCAAGAATGTTATTTGGTGCATCATAATGCAGATGGATGAAAATGAGTTCAATGCAAAAACTTTCAAGTTTGAATGAAAGACAGAGCAAAGACAAAACCAAAACCAAAACCAAAACCACAACCAAATGGGTTTTAAAGACGAAAGGGGAAAAGCGGTAGAAGTTCTTTACAGGGCTCTTAAAAGATAGGAGAAGGTGAGAGGACAAGAACAAACCCAGTTCCCTCCCCTTTTTCCCAAGCACAAATAATAATAATAACAACAATAACCAGCCTTCCTGGTGAGGAAGCAGGTGGTAATATCTTGTGCAAAACAGATACATTATCTGAGGCAAAAAAATCTCATATCAACAATCAGATGGTCCACAATGAGGTTATCATTCTCTGGTATTCAAGTTAAGAAGATTTTATTTAAGGAGATATTGCTGGAGCTGTGTACACGAGTGACACCAAGAAAATTTACCTCAGAGCAAATTTTACCAATGGTAGAAATGGTTTCAACAGGATACAGTCCACGCAGTGTCTCAGCACCCAGAAGAATAGCATCACTTCCTGCAATTGACAATAAATGGAACCAAACAGTAAGGCCCAAATCCCAAAAAAAAAAAAAAAAAACATTCAATCATGTGGGATAAAAGAAATCAACTAACAAAAAACTAAGGTATTTATCCAAACAGTTTCCAAATTCAAAAAGGAAAGAATAGGCAATGAGTACATGCCATATCAAAGTCTGGCAATCACACGTGCAAACAATTAATTTGAAAATGTGCATGTATTGAATGAGATATGTTTTGATCACAGTTAGAACATAGTAACACACCATCCAGGACAGCATTGGCAACATCAGTTGCCTCAGCACGAGTTGGCCTCAAGTTGTCAGTCATACTGTCCACAACACGAGTCACCACAGCTGGCTTTCCAGCCATGTTACACTTGTAGAGAGCAGCCTTTTGAAACAAGAACACCTGCAGAAAAGACAAAAATTAGTGACATGCTCTCCCAAGCAACCACTATAGATCCTGACATCAAACAAAGTGCATGCACCTAATAATTACCAAGACCAAAGACAATTAATTAGAACATGGACCCTGCATTTATGGCCTACATTTGACATGATTAACATCTAGTAAATAAAAAGTCAATTCTATGCATTTTCACAACCAAAAAACTGATCAGAGTAAAAAAACCTTTCAATTAGATAAAATCTAGGCAAGAAGAAAGTTTGCTCAGTTAGACAAAATTTTTAGGTCAAGACTCACAAGTTAGGCATATTTAATTCAACTTGCAATTACAATAACCTATAGAATTGGCACCTACAAATGAATCCCTGAACCTTCTCTTATAAAAACCTCTCATGCAAGCAAAACCAACTTCTTATTATTACTCACCTTTTCAGGTGGAAGATCAATGCCCAAATTTCCACGGGAGAGGATAATTCCATCTGCTTCTTGTACGATCTCATCAAAATGGTTCAATCCCTGAAGTACAAATATATTAGATAATTTCTCAATTTAACACAGAACAACAATCAATACTTCATATTTATAGTCAGGTAAGCAAATACAATATGAAACTTGCCTCTATGTTTTCAATCTTAGCAAAAATTTGAGTTTGACAGAGATCACCCAATGTGGACAGAAACTCCCGAGCCTGCAGAGAGCACAAGAACGGAACAATTAGGGAAATAATGAAAGATTAGTATCAGGACAGTGAACTAAGAGCAATCTTACATGGCGAACATCTTCAGCATGCCTTGTATATGACAATGAGAGGAAGTCAATTTTGTTATTAACTCCCCATGTAGTTATAACCTGAAGTGAACAGCATCATATCACATAAATTAGTAGAAAGAAAGGAAAAACAACAAACTAACTAAAAAAGGGAAGGAAGGGAGATTGAAGATGTGTATACGATATTAGACCAATCAACAACATGCATAAATCTAAAGCATTACCTCCTTGTCTTTATGTGAGAGAGTTGGCAAATCAATACGAATTTGAGAGCCATGCAAAGTAAACAATGAACCAGCCAATGTCGCAGTATTCTTTATCACACATACCACATCATTTCCTTTTACTTCATCAACCTGCATAATTTCAGTCAGAATTCAAGCCTTTGGACTTTGGATGTGCAATCTTTTATATAATTTGAACTAGGTGACATTTATTTGATCCAGGTAAATTTAAGCAAACTAGATAGAAGGCCAAGAGTTTTCCACTTAAAGAACCAGAAGCAGGCCAGGTATAAAACAGAGGCTTCCCACATTTATATACAGAAGTAGTTCTTGTGAATCTTTGTCCTTACCTCCAACCATACGGAAGTGGTTTCACTCCCAGTGAACAGGTATTGACCAATGAAAATGGTATCCCCCTCCTTCACTGCCTGCAAAAACCTTAGGTTTGTCAAGCAGGTTGCATTAAAAAAGAAGAAAAGAAACAATGCATCATGGCCTGTAGCATGCATTGTTTTGATAAAGGCTAAAAGCCAGTATGACATCCAACCAATTAATTATTCATTTTTTGTAAGAGGCTTATACCTTTGACAGTCCATCAAAATTGATTGGCAAAAGTTCTGAAGAGGCTTCTTGCCCTTGATCAGGAGTCAAAACAACAGAAGCATTCTCCTTAAGGGAGATAGCTTTCTCACTTTTATTAACAACCTGCAACTCAGGACCCACTGTGTCCAGCATGACCTGAAAGGCCAAAAAAAAAAAAGAAAAAGAGATAAAATCAGCTGTTTTCTTCATTCAATCACAATCAGCAAAAGAATAAACAAACAGTTCGTGCAGAAACAGCGGAAGAATCTTTGACAATCATTAGCCATTAAGATGCAACATCCTTCATCTCAATTCTCAAAGAATGCATAGAGTCAAAGAATTCACTCCAAAAAATGTCCTGAAACAATTTGCAAACCATATCTAAGTTAATATGACAGAGAATTCCTTTCTCCAAAAATGAATGTCATCAGGACTCAACCCCCAACCCTTGCACGCTTGCTTTCTACTACCATGTCTTTCTCCAGCTCGTATTTGCTGGCCCCAGCCATCACTTTCAGATTGTTAAGGTTTAAATCTCTTACCTTATTATCTTTCCGTGGAAACTGTCGATTAGCAACAAAACAAGCAGGAAACAAACAACAAAGAACAGATTTTTGAGAAGAATCAGAAAGCATAGAAAGAAAAATACCGCACAGAGCTTCTTAGTGCTCTTGACTGCTGCCTTCAAATTCTCCAAAGTTTCCTGGTGATACACTGGGTCACCCCACGAAAAATCAAACCTGGCCACTGCAAAGCCCCGAAACATCACAATGCATCCCAACACCAACTCCATCCCAAACGTCAAAGGAAACGAAATATCAAAACTATCATACCAGACATTCCGGCTTTGAGGCAACCGGAGATAACCTCGACAGATCGAGACCTCGGACCTAAAGTCCCCACTATCTTCGTCATTGCAGGAAAGAAACTCTGCAAAAACAATGCCACACATAGAATCAAACACCAAATATACACAGATCCACTTCAACCGATACTCAACCCGTATTAAAAAAAAAAAAAAAATCCAACCTAAACAAAAGCAACAGAAGATTGATTCGAAACTTACAGCCTTAGATGGCTCGAGAATCGAAGCCATCCTTATCGGCTCCTCGAGAAGCAAATGACTCGAATGCATCTTCACCGATCACGGACTGGGAAAAAGGCGGATTCTCTGTTGCTCCGACGAACGACGAAGGGAGAAGGAATAGTAGTTTGCTAAACTAGAATGAAGAATATCCTAAGTTTTATGCTTACCTCTTTTTATGGAGAGAGAAGTAGAAAATCGGGTTTCCAAGGACGACCGAAGGTCCTTTTCAGTTAGTGCATTAGTGTTTCACATCACTTGGATCCACTTTGTGGTCACGTGGCGGAAAATGGAACGATTGATTTGGAGGCGCATGCGGGTTTCTGCCATGCCGTGGAGTGTAGCGTATAGTTTCGTGCGCAAGGGGCAGCTCATTTCAAGGCTGACCGATGCTTTTTACATTTCTTTTCATTTTTTTAATAGATAGTGCTGTAGGCACTATTTTTTATTTTATTTTTTTACATAATTTTTATAAATAAATAAATATATTTAATATTATAAATTTTATATAAATTAAAAAAATTATTTATTTAAAATTTTTAATGATACATTAATTTTTTTTTTTGAACAATAAAAAATTTTTTCGAAAAAAAAAGAAGAAGATCTAGGATTAAAACTCAGGTGTCGATAATCCTAATCACGACCTGTAAAGAAGAGTCAGTATGCTCCGAAATACTGGACAATGATACATTAAATTATAAAAAAAAGGTTTAAGTACCATTTTGGTCCCTCAACTTTTCACTTTGGTACCAAAATTGTCCCTCAGCTTTAAAAAGTACCAAAATTATCCTTAAACTTTCATTTTCGGTACCAAAATGATCC